GATTTGGAACGTACGGAAGATCGTTTGAAGATCGCCACTTCGAAATTAGAGGAGGCGTCAAAAGCAGCCGATGAGGCTGAACGGTATGCGTTTTATGTCTTCCCCTAAACTAGGCTAATCCGTTACAGGCTGAGGCAGAGGTAGCTGCCCTGAATCGTCGTATGACTCTTCTAGAAGAGGAACTTGAACGTGCTGAAGAACGTTTGAAGATTGCCACCGAAAAACTCGAAGAGGCCACTCACAATGTCGACGAATCCGAGCGGTTGGTGGCAAGCCTTCGTCGTCGTCGTCGAGCCACCGATGGCCATCTGCCGACCGCTTGCCGCTGATTCGCTTGTCCTCTGTCCGGTGTCAAATTGTGATTGCTTCGTTCAAGTTTCTGAAAACACACACTAGGACAGAACAGAACATCGAACATCTGTCCGTCCCGAAAAAGAATGTCCCTTGTCCTCTAAATTGACTAAAATCTGCTCTAAACAACAACGTTGTCCAAGTCAAGTGTCGTTAATTACTTTGTGTTTTGTGTAGTGCTCGCAAGTCAATGGAGACACGTTCGCAACAAGATGAGGAACGGGCCAACTTCCTTGAGACTCAGGTCGATGAGGCCAAAGTGATTGCTGAAGACGCCGACCGCAAATACGAAGAGGTCCGCAAAATCCCCGCAACCGTAACCAATTTGCGGTTGAGGGTTTTTACGTGTTTTCTAGTCGGCAGTCGTTGTTCTGTGTGTGACTACCCGCATCCGTCTTTACTATTCTGGAATCCGATCTCGACGATGTCGTAGAGTGATGTGTTTGATGTGTAGCATGCCTTTACTGTCAATTTTAGGGTTTTCTTTCTTTTTTCTTTTTCAGCGAAAAATTGTAGAAAAATGTTTGAAGTTCTAACTTATAATAAACCAAACCATTCCCCGTAAGGGTAAGGACAGAGTCTGGCGAACGGTCTTCTTCATTGAAAATACCTAATTTGTGTAAAGCTAGTGCGCCTTTCAAACCAGTGAACAAATCCGGAAATTGTTCACTAATGTGAAGAAGTGAAGGAATGTGGTTTGAGTGACTTTTTGCCATAGCTCTAGTGCGTTTAGCGAATCTTCTCTACCAAATTGGCATAACCATTACACATGGCTGCTTTCACCCTTCGTAGTTTTTTCACTCTTTTTCCATTTAGATCCCCAAGCCAGACCCTGTCCTTAGAGGAGGTTAATTTGCGTGTGATGCCTAACTAGTTTTAATTGTATAGAGCACGAAAATCGTTGGAAAATCGAGTGGATGTGGACGAGGATCGTTGTGCCGAGCTTGAAACAAAACTACGTGAAGCTCAAGCGTTACTGCATGAAACTGAAAGCAAGAGTGAAGAGGTACCAAATAATCTACCCCATACTAAACCCACCGAACCAGGGTATAACCCAGGTTTTGTTGAAGACGCCGTCCACCCAAATAAAGGGCAATGAGATTTTAATGCGGTAGTACGAGTAGTACGATAGCCATGCCCTTAACTAAGCAATTGCCCAAGTTCCGCTGTAAAAGATATTATCCGGAGAGAGAAAGTCGCTCCAGAAAGTAGAAGCCGCAGTGGTAGCTCCGCCCACTAATGCGGATGGTCCGAAGAAACATGTCCAAACGGGGCTTGAATATGTCCAAAATTGTCGAGAACTGATAATTCGAGAAACTGATAATCATGGGGAAAGACGAGTATTTGACAATTTTGGTCACATTCGCGTCCAGTTTTGAACTTGTATTTTCAGACCAGACTATTTTGGTGGGCGGAGCGACCACCGTAGCTTCTACTTTGTGGAGCAGTTTTCTAGCTTCGGATTCCGTCTTTTGCAGTGAGACTCGAGACTTACCTTGTGAGGGGCCCGCTATTGTACGGCATCAACTCTGCCCTTAAATTGATGAACGGTGCCTTTAACTGTGCACTAGCTTCATGTATC